TTGGATACGTCGATGATTACCACGCAAAGTACAGGAGAGCAACATTCGTCAGAGGATATCGAAAAAATAATAGAAATCGAGATATATGATGAATCAATGCAATCAACAATGCAAGATAGTGCAGAATTCTCGACATCAAATGTTGATAAATTTCAGTGGTTTAATATGGCCCCTCGTTTTGCAGATTTTGAATGGAAAGATGTATCAAAATCAGACGAGGTAAGTTCATTATTCTGGGATACGTATAAGGAAGATATCGACGATGTTATTCCAGAAAGTCAATGCGAGGTAACAATTAAAATGGGTATTCTCAAGGTAAAATGTCCCACTATTAAGTTTGATGAAGAATGGAATTTTACTTCTTCCGAAATACAACCTCCAACTGAAATTCTGAAAGTCACTGATTTTAGAGATATTTTTGATGCTTTCTTACATACCCAATATAACGAAAATGCAAATGAACAATTGAAAATTGAAAATATTTCTAATGAAAATTTTAATAAGGAAGTTACAACGTTGCAGAATAACAGACCTAAAATAATCGATATAATTGAATTACAAGAAAGCACTACGAATGCAAACGACGCATCAATAGATTTATTTGATGTAGCATTTATAGATCCTTCCGATAGTGGAAATAGCGATGAAAATATTGCATTTTACAATTTCCCATTTTACGATTCAAATGAAGAAGAAGGAAAACGCATCACAAGAGAAGCTTCCACTATTTCTAAATTCGATTCCAGTACCGTTGATTCAAACAAGGGACAAAATCTATTTTTTGATATTTCTGACACACATCAACAAGAACAATTGAAAATCAATAAAGAGAAAGATTATTCAGTTTCTGATAATAGTAAAACTTTTTTGGAAATTTTGAAATATTTTTATCATTTGGAAAAAAATCTAACTTCTCTACTTAAAAATGAAATATCAAACATTATAGCGGGATGTTTATCAAAAAGTTCTTATGAAAATAATTTCGGGAACGATATTTGTATATTTATTCGTTATATGAGTTCCACACCTCGATATTCATGGAATAAACAATTTTTAGAAGAAGCTTTAAGAACATTCTTGGATTATTTACAAAAACTCAACCATCGACTACACATTAAGGAAGACTCTTATCGAAAGAAACGAATGACTGATGATCTAGCATGGCAAGAAGGTATATGTCAACTATTACATTTAAAAAATAGATTACTTACAGTGTATAGATATTATTTGTCAAATTGATTGAAAAATTATATTTACTTTATATAGTTATTAGTTCTTATATCTTTTGAGGCAGTAGTTACATTACGTAAAAGAAATACATTTGATTCTTCATTTGACATTTTTAGTAAATATAAATTAATGTAATGTAATTCGAGATATATCTTTGCTGTTATTAATTTATTTAAAATAACATTACATTACAGATGAGATATCAAATACGTTAGAAGAAGACAATAATGACGTGGACTTATTAGAAAAATTGAAAAAAGTTTTCCATAAAATGGAAATTCTTGCTCTCTGCATTGATAAACTTCATGAACGATATCTTCTTCACAATAAACTTGATGACGATTATGTTTCGAGTGAATTTCCGATTGAAACTGAAGAACATCGCGAATCGTACACTTCGAGAATTGTACACGAAAAGTAAACTGACAAAATGTACGAGTTTCTTCTATTTTTTTGTATGATATACGTATTTCTTTCTCTCTCTTTCTTTGTTCAATACTTTATATAAATGATAAATAAATAATTTGTAAAAATATAAAATTTATTTATACTGATTATCACGTAGGAACTATTACTACAGAAATTATTATTACTATAATTAATATGAATAGGTATATATAGTGTTTATATATAAAAACAATTCAATTATTTCTATCGCAATGCGTTGCATACTTAATATGCAATGTGCTCACGAAATTTGTTCGTAAAATCTGTATTGAATATTTGACAAAAGCGTGCTATAAAATAATTAGTGCGTTGCTGGTATGCCTGCGCATGGCATAAGCCTTGAACTTATTCATGCTAATTTCTTACGATTTATACATAGTTGCGTTAATGCGATAACGCCTCCATGCGTTGATCGAATGACGATTGTAATTGGTTGTTTAGTGATTATAGAATTGAAAAAGTAGGTCAGGCTCATATATCTTTAAAATAGGTTCTTGATTATACTGAAAGTGCACAATCTTTCCTCTCTTTCATATTGTTTCCACTTTAAAATCAATTTTAAATTGACGTCGTATTTATTTTTACAAGTAATGTTTTACATGTTTGAAATAAAGCAATAAAACTGCAATTAATTATTTATTAATTTAATCATACTATATCCTTAGTTTATTTTGTATTGGTAGTTAAGGCATCAGTGTTATCAGTCATTAAAGGCATATGGAACAATATATTTTGTAAATTTCACTGTGCATTGCACGAAAGAAATTGATAATTCATTCAGCAATTTCAATATCCAAACTGATTGAAAATGGAACGCTGCATTGCAAGAATTGTAAAATATTCAAAGTTACTTAAATGAAACTCTAAATAAAATATGACTGCTGATTTTACCAAGATTGTTGTTGATATAATGTTGCGCTTCTTTATTAATGTCAGCACTCAGCCAATCACGGACTTAATCGCGTGGTGACCTTACACCTTATAGTTTCGTGAAACATGCAAGATTGACCACGACAGTTCGATCAGTATTTCGATCGCCGGACGAGCATTCCAGCAAATTGCCTTGTAAATCACGTCTTGCACGCCTCTTGTTAAATTTATGAATCACACGCGAGCCTTTGTGATCGACGATCGATAGAGAGCTTTCCTCGTCGAAACAAAAGGCGATGTGATTGTTGTAAATAAAATCGGCACGACAATCCGACACGCGCCTTCTTACTGCTATAAACAGTACAAACGTTGCGAGGCAAGGCGCGATGCACTTGGCGTGCAGGTGGATACGTTTCTACAACTGTCTGCCTACGAAATACTGATAACACGGCGATAAATTTTCGGTCGCTTTCGTGCACAAGTTGCCGGATGCGCCTCCTTTGTAACTTGCTAAGTTAACATTTCGAGCTTGATGGAAGTTTCCGAGCTTCAACGAAGAAGCAATGTCGCGATGCCGAGCACATGATAACAGAAGAAACAAGAACATTTCTTATAAGAATTGTGAGAGAAAGCCTTAATATTAAATTTAATTCTGCAGGAAAGATGCAGCACAATTTTTAGATATACACATATTTTTTGTATAGCCACATTACTTTTAAAGATCACTGAAAAAATAAGTAAAATTATAATTATATATTTTTATACTTCTATTACATGTTGTTAAATATATCATGATAATACATATTTTATAATGATACTAAAGCGTCTTACGGTAAATTGTTTTTAATGTAATTGAATTTAAGAGCAATTATACAAATAATGAAGAAAAAACGATAAAATTATTGTTTTTGCACCACAAAATTAGTTATTACTTATTCACTATTCCTTTCCAAAGAATCATTTTTTAAAAGTATTAAGTTTTCTTCTTATTTCTAAGTTTACCACAAATATTGACAAATATAAAAGAGATCATTGCAATTATGAAAATAAAAGTATCAAAGTTATTAAAAATATAATTGAATAATAATTATTCTCTGATGATTATGATCAAAGAGAATTGGACAGAGCGGAAGGTTCACGTATATTGTGAGAGTCATCTGCTGAGTCTGATGTTCAATAATGTAATTAATACTATATTAATATTATAATAAATTTAGGACTAATGTAATAAAAAGATGTTATATTAGATTCTTTCCATAAAGTATATATACATATATATATGTGTATATATAAAAGAAATTAATATTAACATTATGCGCATCGTGCGTGAAACGGAATACACCACTACGCTCTATTTGTAATATGAATTATTGAGAAATACCGTTGAATACGGTAAGAATGTGACCGTGAAAGATAGTAATTCGGCATCAGATTCGCAAAATAGCGTTGAAAGCATACGGAAAAATATATCATATTCATCCAAGGATCTTCCGCTCTATCCAATCCTCTTTGATTATAATAATCTTTCTTACGTTCGTAAATTGTACTGTTTGTTGCAAATTCTAGAAGCGAAATTTACGAACAATGAAAAACAATTTCAAGAAATTATTTTTTTGAAAAGAAAAACAGTAAGATGAATGAGCACAATAATTTTGTAAATTAAAACATTTTTTACAATAATCTCTAAAAAATGTTGATTTGAAAACAAATTTTTTAAATTATTTTATGTAAAAACCCAAACGAATATTTGATTCAGCACATGTAGGTCAATTAAAATAATTGCGGGGTTTTCAGATGAGGCATTTCATGTAACTCTTATTCGGCGATAGCATGAGACCAACTTTTTACTTCAATAATCTCGTGATTGCGAAATAAGTATATATTGTAAAGAAACTCAACAAACATTCCCGTAATTTTTTTCAAATCAACAAGGAAAACTTGAACAGATCATTGATATGGCTGCGGTAAAAAATTATAAAAGATTACCTCAGATCAAACATGTAACGTTATAAAAGTTGGTGTTATAAGATTATAACGGGATTTTGCATTTAATTATAGGTATGTTTAGGAATTTTTGAAATTCACTATATTGATATATAAGAATCTATATTTGGAATAGATAGAAAGAAATCATAACGATGCAAATCAGAATGCTTTGGAAGGTTTCCGGATGATATTCTGAAAGGGAGTCAGATTCAAACTATATGTGTTAGGTTCATAAATTTGCTGGTAATGCTCAGCAATGGACTGATTAATAAAACGTCTAGCCGCGTCTTTCGAAGCGATCGAAATTCAACCAGCTAGCTTTCAGATCTCAAGGAACGTGGTAATGTAACCACCCTATGGCAGAGCATTTTCTGCTTTAGTAGTGGCAGCACGTAGGTTTCGTAGTGGGGATGCTTCGAAGGCTTAAAAGGCCATCCAACGTCCTTGTAACACGCAGTCTTGGAATCAAACATACTAGTATTCCGCGTAAGTGGATCGAAGGTGCGAAGAACAATCTCATCTAACTTTACCGTTGCGAGTTTAGTCAGACTTTCATCGAAGTAATCTGGTGTATTGTAAGCCGAGATTAATTCGTTAGGAAGACGAAGGGAATAGTTTGGGGTGAAAGCATCGAGGTGAAGAAATTAAAAATCTAAACGGGAAAGGGAGTGATTTTTTCTCGCAAATTTTTGCTAGAGTTTTGATTTGTGATTTGTGATCATACAAGTGATAATAATTAAATATCATTTACGACGAGAGACCATGAGAAGTGAAATGAGTCTCCAAATAATTCTGTCTGTTCTGTTAATCGTATCAATCTTTTCGCCACTAATGTCCGCTGCTCTCACAACTTTTGGGAAGAGTAATCCACAGAATCAAAACTCGAATCCACCGCCACCACCTACACCAAGTATGTAATAAACAAAACTTAAAAATATACTTTTAACATAATAATTTAACATAATATACTTTTAAACTTTTAACATAATGCTTTTAAATAGCTATACTTTAAAGATAATTATTAAATAACAATTTATAACACATTCTCATATTAATTTCATCTTTCATAAAGTACAATCTAAATTCTATTTTAAGATAGATTTATAGATAGTAGATAGAGAGATCTTAATGTATATAATGAGTTTGTTATGTTATCTTCTAATAACGTAATATTAAGAAAACAAAGATGCTAATTTAGTCTCTACATATCTTTTATTCCTTATTTCATTAATATAGACTATTGTAGATCTTTTAGAATTGTTCAAGAATTATAGTTCAGCTGTCCTCTTAAAACTAAACGAAAATACTCTATTTATATTCTATTACCAGTAATATTTCTATAGTCACTGTATGTACACAAACTTAATTTTATAGATATTATATAAAATGTAATTTTTATTAGGCGTGATAACTGTATTAATGTGTAAATTACGATACTGTTATTCCAACATATTTCAAAATTGTAGCACAGTTACGAGTACGTTTTATAAGCATTAATCGATATTTCTAGGAATATACAAATTAATGTCTAATAATCACTCACAGCTTAAAATCGTGTAGATATAAAAAATTTGATGCTTGAATGTTAAAGTTAAACCGAGGTGCGGATGAATATTAATGGTTTACTGAATGCCAGACTTCTAATCTGCATTTTCAAAGATTATAATCATTATAATTTTTATTTGACACTACGTACACTCTTGTATAATTAAGACAGTTTATAATTAAACAAAAATGATATTATAAAGATAAAATATTGTACAAATTTTTTTTATCTTCACGATGATTTCGTCTTATTCGTTAACAAAGGAAAACAGAACAAAAAGATACTTCAAACATGTAAATATCAAGTAAAAATTCTCTGCATTCATAAAATGATTACTGTACATATATATTAAAAGATACAAGTATTAACATAAAGAATTATAAAAGATTTATTAGATAAGTTTAATATAAAATAAAGCTCGATATACTACAAGACGTCCTAAAATCCGCGAAATTAAAATATCAGTAAGAAAGTTCTTGAAAAAAAGTTAAAAGCTATTTGCCATTTTTCCATTTCAAGCAATAGTTTTTAAGATGTAAAAGTTTAAAATTGATTACTTACAGATTATGGTTAAACGATTGTTTGACGCATCGATAATTATAGTGATTGCTTTCTTGCGTGATGACTTTCTTGCTGTAATATTTTGATTCGCGAATTTCGAGACATTCTATCTATGAGAATAAACAACAAGCATAACAAATGCTTCGGAATTCCGCAACGTTCCAACCCTGAATTGATTACTGCAGAATCTCGGTTATTATCTAGATATAATTTCTAGTAATCTGCTAAAGTAATATCGCATAAATTTTTATGAAATTAAGAATGCATTGAACTAGTTTAAGGTCAAATAAAATTATAGTTCTTACATAGAATGATATTATACATGATATAATACAATTACAGCTGGTAAAGCTCGCGAGTGTAAGACGGAAACCGACTGTGGTGCAATTCTGAATACAACATGCATAGCGGATTCCCGAGGAAAAACTCGTTGTCTTTGCGACGATAACTCAGCACCAATTAATGGTTTATGCACTAATAAATTCAAAGGTAAACGAATTTTTATTAGAAAATTGATTTTAAATTTATGAGCAAATATATTAAAAATATTTTTTAATAGTCTTTAAAAACGCTGAAAAAATTAATTTTTTTATACTTATATGTATTTTTTATGTCTCGCATGTATCAGTTATGTTTACTGCTTTAATTTGTTGAAATTAGTCAAATTTGGAAATTTGTTTTAACAAGAAGGTAGTACCAAGATTTGCATAAACTTACGTGCTACGTTGCAATACATGAACACATGTGTGATACTGCTCATAGCCGGTCTATGGTTATCTATGCAAATTAGTAAAGGGTAAAGGAGTATCGCCTCGACCTACCTTTAGTAGTTAGAACTCGTTTTTCTGTAGTTTCTTTTCACGACAAGAAAATGCGACAAGTGAATGTAGAACGGCAATAACAGTAAAAACAGTAGATTTAGTCACTAATTTTGAAAGAATCACTAATTTTGAAAGAAAGGAGATGGCATAAATTTATTATAATATTTTACAAGTTATAAAACATGCTTGTATATATATAATTAAAGACGTAGCTACATGATTCTTATATTAAATGGCATTATTTAATAATAAATTATTACGAGTGACAGTAATAAACCGTACCTGGTACGATGCAGCAATAGATTTTGAAACTTTGAAATCATATAACGTTTACGAAGCAATTTGTAGTTCGATACGTAATATTAGAGGCTCGTAACGATCCGGAAACTCGGCAATTTCATTTGATTAAATGATCACTGTGCATGTTTCTCTTCTTTTGGCGAAGTTGCCGATGATTGCCTAGCGAACATTTTAACGGTGATTAATCGTGATTACGAATCGATCGATGCTTAAATGTTATATTCATGCTCGAAAAATTAAATAGACTGTACATTTACAATAATTAAAATCACACAAAATGATATAAATCGTAAATTTGATAAATATCAGAGTTTGGTAAAAATAAATTTGTAAATATAATATTATTATATTTATTGTATACATTGTACATTATGTTTATTGTATACATATAATTGTACTTTCATTTTTAAGATCAATAAAAAATTTTAAACAAAATTAAGAAATACAAGAAGAAATCATGCTTTTTTACGTTCTTAATCATTTATACAAATTCTTAAATTGCATTAAAAATTATGTTTTTATTTTTTAGCACTTCATAGACCTTGCAATTCCGATTCAGAATGCATAGAAGATGCCCACTGTGTGATGCATAACAGCTCAATGGGAAAACGCTGTTATTGCCAAAAAGGATTTTACCAAGAGAATCCATTGTTTTGTAACGGTAAGATTGCAAGAATTATTATTAATATGTTAGAAACGACATATTATACATCTAATTTAGACAGATAACATAAAAGTAACATTTATTATTACTGTTTTAATAATATAGTTAAAAAATAAATTTATTTTTTGCAAAAATTTAAGTAAAATAATTATTAAAATTGCAAATAATTATTGAAATAAAACTTTCAACGTCAATAAAAAATGTAATTATTAATTTCATTGAAGAATGGTTTATCTGATTTTCTTTAATTTTGGATGAATTATAAAATATTCTATTTTGGCGATAAAAAATATATTATAATGGTTTTATTATAAATATACATGTTACTGTGCTTAATAAATAAGATAAATCGAATTACGTTTATATTAAAAATTGGAAAAACAAGATAATAATTTTCTCGTTAAATACTGCATCTTTCATTTATAATTAGTAGGAAATAAAATGATGTAATAGCTTCAGCTGCTTTAAGATTTGCTATCACAAGCGTGTTGTTACAAAACGGAAGTTGGCATTTTTCTCGTAAAAATTATTTACGAGATATAATTGAATACCGCATTTCATGTGTGTGTATACACCATTAAAAAATTAAAGCATAAAATATTTACATCCTTCATAGGTTGCTTGTCCATCTTTACGTTGCATACGATGATTCTTTTGGCTGCGTCGCTCGTGCTTGGAAGCTTTAACTACATCTAAAATTTTTTAAGTCTCAATCTTTTAAAGAATGTCTTGAACTTTTGAGTCTGTACGATAACCCACACAGTAGAAAAACATTATAATTCTTCGAACCAATGAATCAAATGAGAAGTCGCTTAAAAATATATATCTATAAAAGTGTCTGTTTAGTTCAAGGAAAGAGTAAGATACATATAAATACATTTCAGAACGGTAATGCACATTTATGTGTCAAATAACTATGAACTACGAGAGAATCTTCCCTTGTATAAAGTAGTCGCGCACTTTTTCTTAAAATTGTTCTTTTTAAGTTCTTCAGAGAAACGATATTTTTTTCCAATTAAAATTTGTTTGATTATCATATTTATCAGCAAATTTTGAACAAATGATTGTAGAAAACAATATTTATGTATCTTGTGTAAATTATTTAAATTTTATAATACTATTATAATAATATATTATACTATCGTATTTTATTATTCATAATTTAGTATAAAACCTGAAAACATCAAGATTAATTTCTTCATATTGAAATGATTGTTATTATTGTTATTTTATTTGTTCAGAGAAAATATGCGATTTCTAGAATAGTTTATACGTTGCAAATAATACATGTAAAATATTTTCCTTTCATTTCTTTTATACTTATAGGGTTTTCGAGTGCAGCGAGTTTGAATTTAACTCAAGTCATTTAACCCCAAAGTACCAAGACCTCGTCTAATCAGAGACTAAAGTAGAGCATATGACGTCATTGATGTGATCTGGGTTAAACTTACTGCATTCAAAAACGCTATTAGAGAACTATTTCCACATTCAGTCGTCTTATAGTCAATATATCAGTTTATAATCGACAGTCTTATATAGCTAATGATAAGATATTATAAAATATTGTATTTCAATTTTATGGTAACAAATTTAAATATTTTCGAATTTTTCCTGTAGAAACAATAAGTATTTCAGAGTTTCCAATTGCTTTTAATTTTAAAAATCCGTGAAAATAAACAATTGTGCCTTATCTAGAAAACTTTCACGATTACACAACAATTATACGTGATCTTATATTATTGTATTGTATTAAGAATGTAATTTAATTATTAATCTATAATTTATGTTCGTAGTGAAAATAAGTTAAATAAGTGAACGTCAATTCTGAATCATCTGTAACTGTCAATCAATCGTAAATAAGCAATCGATTCTTCATACTTGCCTATATTCTTAGTACTTTAAGCGCTTTAATTTTTCGACTCCCATTTTGATTTTTCAGACATAAATTCCCAGGGGCAAGAAACTGACCTCAAAAAATTTTTTGTATAATAGCATGTTTATGATATTAAAAATGATATTAAAATACAGTAAATAAATAGATCAACACGTAAAAATATAATACAATATATTTTTATTGATCATTTATTTTCATTGATTTAGATATAGAATATTTTTAAAATTTTACCCAGGAAAAAATATTTCATATACGTGTATAATCATATATAATTATAATATATATCTATAAATATATAAAATTATATATAATT